AAAAATTCTCAGCTTTTATTCTAAATGTAATTTTATACAGGAGACAATCGTTATGATCTTTTTCACGCTTCCCAAAGCATCCATCATTCGCACCTGACGCGCCGGAAGTTTGTTCACCCCGTGAGCAACGAAGGTTCATTCATCTTTGCAGCACTTGTCGCCCACATAATTACATATCACGGAACTGTCCCGAACAGGCGGGAGACGCGTTATCGCGCGAGATGCTGATAATTGCCAAAGATACATCCGAGCGAGTTTCTTAATCATCCCTTCGGGAGATCCGCAGACGATAATGGGAAGCACGGCCTCTTCTCGTCCGTTCGATCTCCGGACGAAATATCGCTGTCCTCGGTGTCAACGACGCGGCAAACTTCGATTCGCGATGCTTTACGAGCAACGATCCTCGTAAAATATCCCCGTCGATTGTGTCCCGCTGACAGTTTTCTTCGACTGTCGTCGACCAGCCTATAAAAACCCACTTGCTACTTCCTTGTCTTGTAAATAATACAAGCTGATTCCTACGTTCTTATGGTTACACGCAAATTTCTCGTTATATCGTTCTTTTCTTCTCTTTAAAATCTGCGAATGGGGAAGTGAGAGTCGAGCGTACGGTAGAATTTTATGCTGTGCAGATTGTACGAGAGAAGAAGCTACCATTCGACGTTTATCGTTTAGAGACTTCGTTAAAAACAAGCCTGAGATGGTATTAAATACGACGCTGTCGTAAAAGTCCTGTTAGATTCGTGAACAATGGAGAGCCAAGCTGATGACCGAATTTATCTCGAATTAAGACGTCTATTTCCTGCCGTTGCTGCTACAACGTGGAACGAACGATCGTAAAAGCGAGGAGAATTTTCGGAGCGCAGATTTGAAAGGCCGTACGAGAATACGCACTCGTAAACTCATTAAGAACGATTCCTCGTTAAAAAGGGGAGTTTGCACACATTCTCTCTCTCTCTCTCTCTCTCTCTTTCTCTTTCACGTTGAAATATTAAGCTTATAATTCGAATATAACAGAGGAAAGAGGCGCGATATGGTTAAGAGCACCGCGAAATCACATCGGAGCGACGTTTAATTATGCCTTGTCATTTTTAATTAACGTTTATCGTTAACCCAGTTGCCGTGGCTATTGAATTAGCCGTATCGAAATCATTCCTTTCCCGTAATCGATAATTTTCACTTTAATAAACGCCGCCACGTTTAATCGGCGATTTCTCACGAGATCACGACCTTCTTTTCTCCCTCCTCGTTCTCTTACGGCTTGTCGGATTAGAGCACGTTTTCGCGATTCAATTTCGTTCGGTAGACGCTAATTCTCGCGATAATTTACGTAAATGAACCGCGCGCGATTTGCTGTTCCTACTTGACGGTAAAACGGCTATTAACGTTGAGAAAAAAAGTCTGGTTTGATTTCTTCCACGTTCGACGATCACGTAAGTTAACGGGGGAATATAGGTTTGGATGATAGAAAGAGACACGGAGATTCTTCTTCTGTGAAAGCAACGAAAAGAGAGACCGAAAAAGAAAAGAAGGAAAAACATAGTTCGACACGCATCACGTTGGCTTAATATAACGCGGGATTTATACGTGCCGCGACATTAGAGTGACGTTACAAATGAGTGGCTAAGCTCGCTGTTGCGATTAATTAATGGAGCCGGACGGTGTAACGCGGCGTTAATCTATGGTGCAATAAACGTAACGCTGCTACGTAAAAATCCAATCAAAATGCATTAATAACGGGAGAATTAATGCCTTCGTGGCGGCGTGTTTGCGCCGGTGCTTGCACGTCGTGCCGATATTGCGTGCATATGCACGTACAGAGGCGCGTGTATATGTACGTGTTCGTGCCGCTCGTAAATGGACTAATTACTCGCAATTACGCAACGGCCGAGCGCGCGGCCTTTTTTCCCCGTCATTAGTTCCTCGTATTCCCAGCGAATTACATAATAATATTCAACCGATGGGCGTCGAAACGTTAAAACGACCGATTTAGATATCTACCATCGTGGGGCCGCGGTTTCAAACGATCCGAGAGAGCCCCGCGAAATCGGTTCTCCGCCGCTTTTCGATCTTACGCGCGGCAATAACTCTCGCAAAGCACCGGCTGTCTCGACGTCCGTGTATCCACGTTCGCGTAGATCCACTTTACCCAGTTCTTTTCTTATCGGGCTCTGCGATCGTTTGAAAAAGTACGAAATAAATTACGGACATAGTTTAAACGTATCGAAAAGATGATGCTTGTACATTCCTGTAATTCCGGACGATGATAATGTTGAGGATTGTGTAAGGAAAGAGACCTTTTTATAATTTTCAGGGGAAGGTGAAAAGATCAAGGAGACTGTGAGAAATTGAAATTGCTGCAATATCGAATTCGTAATATAAAATTTAAAAAATTTCTCAATGGAAGAGAAAAGCTTATTTACGAGTGGAATAAGAAAAATAGAAACAAGTGTTTGAAATACGTTGGTGTTTCATAGTTTTATAAGAATATAAATTTGACAAAAAAAAGGCGGTTTCAGGCTAATAGTTCAATAGTGATTCTGGTATGAAATTAATGAAATTAGAAATTCTAAACACCGTTAAGACATCAGACGAGAAATTACGTCAAGTTACATTTCTCCAAAAGGAGAAAAGCATAAAAACTGTGTAAACAGCAGAGAAACCCTGACAGATTTGATGTCGTAATTAACCAACCATCGAATGATCCTTAAACGATCATGAACCAAGCGATCGGTGTTCGTTTCCAGATTTGTGCAACAGATAACGTGTCCCCGGCTTATTCGAGCACCGATCTACAGCGATTCCAGCACGACGAAAAACGTAATCGTTTATCTGAGACAGGGTAAGGGTAAAAGGAGAGTCTCTTGCTGGCGAAGGTGGCTCTCACCCGAGAGATTGAAGATCTGCAGGTGACGCGCGCGAATATATCGATCAAACGGTGGTGCCGGTGGTTTCCACGAGATAGAGGCTCGCGATGGCACGTCGTCGTCCCGTCGTCGCTCGCGTCGCCCATTATCCGTAGCGTCTACTCGCGCGGTTTAATGGGATCGCGAACCGATCGGACCGCTCGATTTTCTCCGTGCTCGTCTTCGTCTCCGGCTCTCTCGAACGGCTGAACTTGATGGCGATTGCGTCATCGAGTTGTGACCAGGCTGTTTCTACATCTAGACGGCTCGACGACGGCTACGCTTTTAGCCCTCCAAGTCCTCTTACTCTCGTTTTCTGCTCAAGACTCGTCTCGCTCTCTCTCTGTATCTATCTATCCCTTTCTCTACCTTCTCTTTATCCCCGTTCCTATACCACTGGGGAATACACACACTCTCTCTCTATTTCTCCTTCTCGCTCCTTTTCTTCGGCAAATCGTGCAGAACACCGGACCGGAGAAATACGCTCGGTGACTTGCATACAATAGAAGAGAGTGATGGGCAGTTTTCTGAGGGATCCGGAGTCGTTGGAACGCGCGACAGCTGTCACGACGCGCTCGCGAGAGACAGAGAGAGGCCTCGGCTCGATAAGAGCCAAGAATAAACGCGCGCGGGCACAACGTGACGCGAGTCAGCCGCGGGTAAACGCTCGCCAATGTACCTGTGCATCGACGCGGCCGTATACCGAGACGAGATTGCCGCACACCGTATGCACCAGCACAGATGCTTATCGCACGTACGAACCTTCGATTGAGTATTTTACGCCGACGAGGAACGGGGGAAGATCGTCGTCGCGAGTGGAAAACGAGCGTGTGTACGCCTTTCGATGTACGTAAGTACTGTGAAACGCGCACGCCTAGAGCCATTCTTTATCGCCGTTTCGCGCCGAGTAAGCTGCGAAGAAATGGCTACTGGAAATCGAACATCGAGCATCGTTGCAAATTTATCACCTCCTTGTGGTTACACTTTTTCTTTTCTCTTCCGAAGGGTTCCCAGTGTTTTTCCATAGTACTTTGTCCGGGGAGTTTTCAATATCAGGGATAAAAGGGAATTTATCGTATCGCTCGGTGTAATTTGTTGCCGCGTCGCGCGATATCTCGAATCGACGATACTTTGTTCCGTAGGCGAAACCCGTTAAAGGATCATTAGAAAGCAGCCAGATACATAATAGCTGGCAAATGACCAGTGTCACTTTTCAATTATACCGTTTGATCGTAAATTTGAAAACGCATAAAACCCCAGTATCCCTATAAATTTCCCAAGGACGTGTGGGACTTTCGTTCGCGTAAGAAAATAAGCGGTTGCCGTAAGGAGATTATGAAAGGGATCAGGGGCGTACATGTGCATACGCATCGGGCCGTAAATCTAAAACAAACCCGGCGCAAGGTTTTATGTTTCACCGCGTTTACGCTTTCGATTACGCTTAAACGCGAGTTGCACAACAGTGCGGAACGATTCCACCCCCCTATTTTCTCTTCTCCATCCCCTCGACCCTAATGCAATTTAAAGATTGACGCTCTATCGATTTCGTTACGCCTGCTGTGACTATGGTTGCGGAAAGCTTTGAAAGAAGAAATTAAATATCTAATCGTCACATAGTGCGATACTTTGTTCATTTCAAATTGATCTAACAATTTAAAGATTTGAAGATATCAATGAAACTTTGGTATATGATAGTACTAGAAGGAATATTTGACATGTATTTTTTTATATCGACAATCGTCCACGTTGAATGGGTGAAAATTGACCAAAAAGATAAGAACACCGATAAGAATATATCATTTGAATTTCCCGCGCAAGCTCCAGACTCTATCTTTAAATATCACGCATAGAGTGTTACGAACATAATTACCAGCTGTTTAATCATTAAACAAGCGCGAATGTGCTTCTTCATACTGTAACTCATACGGAATCGCGTAATTTGATTTTACCAAAGAACTTAATGCATCAAAGCTACATTATATCGGTAAACACTGCTATCCAATTTCCCAATTTTCAACCAATTGCACAACAATATTTCTCTTTAATTCCTTTAATTCTACGCAAAGTCTACAAAGTTTCTCTTGTTTGTTGCAGGCGAGAAACCGTATCAGTGCACATGGGAGGGTTGCACGTGGAAATTCGCGCGTTCCGACGAATTAACGCGGCACTATCGCAAGCACACAGGCCAGAAGCCGTTCAAGTGCCATCTTTGTCAGCGGTCGTTTTCGCGGAGCGACCATTTGTCGCTTCACATGAAAAGGCACTGATAAAGAGGACCGTCTAGCCTAGATGGAGGGGGAAAGATGAAGCAGTGAAGAAGAAAAAAAGAATGGAGAGGAGGAGAAGAAGATAGGAGAAAAGACCGTTTTGTCCCGAGTGATCGGGACCTCGAATCGTGGATCGTGGACGACGACGACGATGATTCTTTTTTTTTACATTCGGGACCTGAAGAGCCTCATCTCGATACTCGAATCGTTCACATCGAACGCGGAGAGTCGGAGGCGGAAACTAGGAGAAAAAAATGAAGAAGCAAACGAATCGTTCATTAGGTTTTATAGAGGTCTAATGAAAGTTTATCATTGCAATTATTTGATGGATGATCGTGCGAGCCTGCCACAGCAATCGCGGATTTGCGAAAAAAAAAAAAATCGTTTGCGGTGTTTCTTTGCTTTGTTCTTTTTTTTTTCTTGTTGAACTGCCACCAGAGGAGGAGGCAGATTTTTGTTCGCAATTCGTGTTTTATTTTTTCTTTTTCTTTTTTTTTTTCGTTTCGTCGCGAGCGCGAAGGTGTGTGTAGCATTAAGGATTGTTGATATTTAAAAAATTTTTCAAGAGAAATTTATTTATTCTTCACGGAAGGTGTGTATTTAAGGCGGGCATCGAGCGAAGCTTAGCTTCGACGATGTATAATATTAATTAATTCTGCATAGCAGAGAAAAGCGATTGCTGTAGGTTTAATCGCGAAACAGCACGCGAGATACGCGTCACTTCTGTTTTTATTTCTAGCCAATTTTTACTTGTTCGTATTTCCAGTTTGTTTTCATTTTTTTTTTTTCTTTTGTACGATTAAATAAGGCCAGCTCAACTAGTCTAGAGCACCATATGTATCGTCTATTGCGAAGAATAGAGCCAGTAAAGGGGGAAATGAAGGAGTAATATTGTTAAGGTAATTAAACGGTTAATAAGTAAAGAGAAATATTCGAACTCCGATGACGGAGCTTGGGACTTAGCATGCTCAGTTAAATAAACTACAAATCGTGATCGTTAAACATTTTTTAATGCATTAAATAGCGATTTATCAGAATATGCACAAAGAATTTCGCGTTTAGGGACGGACAATCATCGACGTTTTCATTGTCAAAAGAAAACATGGGAATTTGACGCTCTGAAAGCCAGTATTACGTGTGCATTAAGCAATACAATTATTGTGTATACTATCGACGGCATTGCGATGCTTTTTCGAGTCTTTTTTTCGTTTGATTCGTGAAAACAATTCTTCGATCCGTACCGTTCAAACGGTATGCCTTTTTTCAAGCCACACGTATACCATACATACACGAACAAGGTGCCAAAGTAGAAGGTGCAAATGTATTTGTGCAAACGAGAATGTCCATTGATACATTACGCTCAAACTGTGAGAAAAAGAGGAAGAAGAAGTAGGAGAAAAAATACGAAGAAAGCAGATCGAAGAATTATTTTTTAAAACGCTTTTGCATCTCGTTCATCGAACGCGCGATATCTCGTCGAATCGTGCCACGTGTCGAGCATATCATTATCACGAAGGGAATTAACAACAACGTTTCGTGCTCGATTTTCTTTCTGCACATTTTATTTTGGCATCTGCAGGGAAACCGAGAGACAGCTCAAGAGAAATAATAACGCAATTCGTGGCCAATATAAGGAAAATGAAAAGAAAATAAAAACACACACACACAAACTCTTATAACTCGAAGAGAAACCAACGAGAAATTTCTCCGAAACGGCAGAACGCACGTCTACGTTCCTCGTGGTTTTGAATAAAGTGTACATAATAGAAAGGGTGCAGCAGGGTCCGTGTCACATTTGATGATGCACCGAGTCGGCTGTTCAATTGTCGTCAATCGAAATTGGCGTGTGAAACGCGCGGGCGAATTATTGAGTTTGAAAGTAAGACCAAGGCGGCGGGTGGCTATCGTCACGCGATGCATTCTTAAATGAAGCTGCTTGTTCGGAAAAGGTTGCAATGAAACCGCAATTTTTACGAAAAGTCCGGTGGTCACGATAAAAATATCGCCGCATTACATTTACCTTTCCTCCGCGAACAGCTTCGTCGAGGGAGAGTTGCGCGTGGCCTCAGCGCAGACGACGACGACGACGACGTATCGCACGAGAATCAGATAGCTCGAATCGCGAGCTTGTAAATAATTTAGAAACCTTGAGTAACGCGACGCGTCTCTGTATGCAGCACATATGTAGCATTCCCTCCCCCGTTTTCTTCGAAACCTGTGTCTCCTTTTATTATTACATTTCATTTTTTTTTTTTTTCGTTTTTCTTTTCGCATTTGCTTCTTTTCCTTTGCCACACCCGCGCGGACAACGCGGTTAAACGGTACAGGTGAAAGAAGAGAAAAAACGAGAAACTATTTCGAAGCTAGTTTAAAAAAGAAAAAAAAACACAGAAAAACAATGGAACAAGATGCCAGTATATACTAGAGCCAGTTTTTATCGTTAAAATGAAGAAGAGAGGAGGAAGAAGAAGAAGGAGAAGAAAGGTAAACCTCTACGTGTAAGATTAGTGCGAAGATTGATAAATTAATACTTGTTACATGTTGTACTTTGATAGGGAATAGTGCCTTTTTAACGTTAAGGAAGAGAACGCTGCGTTAGGCCTTAAGTATACTGATAGTGCCTTAAGTCACGCGAATCTTCGTGCTTGTACACATTTCATAACGCGACCATTTCGTATCCTCGTCCGGAGGACCAGTGAGATAAATATCAGCCGTTGCTTTACTCGGTCGAGACTCGTGGAAATCGAGTGCGAGATTCTCAATACTCTCGTCCTTTTATGTCGTGGTAATTCGAAGCGAACGAAATTTCATTTAATTGTAATCTTCGTAATCTCTTTAATCTTCCGTCGTTTCAGTTGCTTGCCCCTCGCACGTTTCTAAATATTCAGTGTAAATTGAGTATCCCCCTTTTTCTAGATCCACTGTCGTTGTATCAGTTTTTATCGTAATGACGAATTAAAAAATTCTAATTGCACTGTCATAGGGTGTCCCATTAATAATTAAATTCTCAGAATATCAAGAGTACACCCTCCGTCCTTAGACATTGACTCAGAATTTTTTGCGAGATAAAGCGTTTGTTCACTCGAGGGTTGAATCGAATTTCTACTTCATTGCATAATCCTTCTGCGAGCATAGTAAGGCACTTGTCTTTAGTTATCACGGATAATTTAGATCTGATAGCGTTCCAATAGAAAGTGTCAAATATCTGCCGCACCTAAATATGATGTGCCTTATTTCCACGAAGCAATTAACGTAGTTCGCTGTATCAAAAAGTTTTCGTTCAATTTTCTCTTACTGACTTCAGACAGATTTCTGCATACTTTCCTCTAAATCCGTCAAAATTTCCTTTCTATACGCAAATCTAGACTTCACATTTTATCCAAATATTTATTCAACTATTCTTTCTCCTCTTTGATTCATCATTGCCGATCGCTGTCGTTCTTCTATCATTTTATCCGTGATCTTCATCGCGAATCGAGGGGAATCGAGTCACACCGACCGACGACAATTCATTCGAGATTTCTCACCCCTTCGAGAAGCATCCTTTACGTTCATACTCTTCTCAGTGATCAATATCGAACGACGATATTCCTCTCTAGGAGCAACCGCGCCTCCGTACAACCATGTGAATAATTTTCGTATGATCGTCACTGCGAAATTCAATCCGAAAATGGACGAGGTGCCACCCAGGATGCCACTCTACGATCTTGATGACTGATACCGTTGTACCTTTCCCTGTAGGGAATTTCTTCAGCGGGGCAGCCGTCAGTAATCTGAGCGCAGCGCGGGCGATGAGAAATGCATACTGACGTCATGCCGACACCCTCTTTGATCATTATCATTTTTTCAACCATGAGCTCGTGCCGGTTCGTACACTTCCCGACGATACATCCCGACGTCATGGTTCTACCTCCACCTTAGAACGATTCATTTCTGCTAATTGTCGACGCGACGATAAAACGATCTCTCGCTTCCGCGTCTCTCGTTCGCTCCAACAACACACCTTCTTCTTTTCGTTCTTTATCTTTATCGTTTCTACGTAGAACTCACGTTGCTTTCTTTTGCTCTTCGAACACCGAGAAGCTGCGTCGTTTAAAGTATATACATTCCAATCCTCTGATGCTCGCGCGACATCTAATACGTGTAATCGTTTCGTTAAATTATCGTGGAATAAATCGTTGGTCTGATAGAGACAAGAGATCAGAGATTTCTCTCTGATTTTAAGAAGTGTGTCTGTTCGTAACCGGACGACGAACATTCCTCGAGCACAGACATTCCCAGGTCACGTTTCTGAGTAAATAGATCGACGAGAAAGACGCGCAACTATATTTCCGTTTCACGTGAACGTTTTTTTCGATCATCTATCCGATTTACCGTGGACGGTGAACCATGAAACAGACGAAACAGGGAAGCAAGGTAAAAAAAAAGGAGTCGAACGCGACTGATTTTCTACCAGAAAGCCCCACCCTAGGAGAATTAGCATTTCAAGTGCCTTAACAGACGTCAATCGAGGCTAACGCGTTCGACTCGAAATCATCTTCTGCGTTCAAGTGGAGAAGCTCGAGAGCGGCGTGGACCACTCGGTTGACACACTTCGAATGAAAATGGTGATGCACGAGGGGAAGGGGAGGGAGAGAACGAGGAAGGGTAGTGTAAAAATGGGTTGGCGTGAAATTTGCATGGGCGATGATTAATTCGTGGCGTAAAACGTTTTTGTGTTCATTCCAAGCTGGAGTATCTTGGGTGTTTCGTTCATCAAAAGACTTTGCTTCGTGTTCTTCTTTTTTATCCTGAACTAAATTTCCAAAGCTTTCTCGTACGAAGTAATTGCCGGGGTAAAAAAAAAAAAAAAAAAAAAAAAAAAGATAAGGATGTATATTCGTCTTTCGAATTAAGGTCTTTCAAAATTACAACCCTCCAACGTCGATCGTTTGAAATCATTGTTACTCGATCGTTCGATGGGTGTCGACGTACCTGAATTCGTTGTTAGATTCTTGATTTCATCATATTCTCGTGCGCTTACACGGCTGTCGGAAAGAATTCCAGCGAGGTGTATTAATAATTTAAGAGGTGCTCTTAACGAGCGCGTTCGGGTGATGTTTAATGGCTGCATGAGAGAGAGAGAGAGAGAGAGAGAGAGAGAGAGAGAGAGAGAGCCTTCGAAAGAAAGGAAGAAAAAAAAAGGAAACGAATCCGATAGAAGAAAAAAAAGTCACGATGTATCGAGCTTTTCGAAAGACGTAGCTGACAGGTCAGTCCGTCAAAGTAGCGATGATTTTCCATTCTTCGCTTCAAGGGCCAGTAAACAGATACACAACGCGTACACACACAGACACACACACGCAC